CTTTTACTGACCTCTCCTATCAATAAATTATATCAACCACCTACCTCTATAAATCTACATCTCACAACTTCCTTATTAATTGATGTATTTTACAAGATTTTTCTGGATACAAGGCTTAATATTTGGGTCAAAAGTGTGGGTTAGTGATAATGGATAGTCTAACAACATTTTAGTCTAATAAGAGCTGAAAGCCCAAATTTACATGGGCTCAAATCAAGTATACTTCTCAATATAAAAAGCTTATTGTGCAGAAACTAGGGTTTGTGTTCTTATATAAATAACTCTCTAGGATTAGATTTGGTTGAGATTTTGAGTAAACCTGAAATATTTGGCTATTGCGATGGGTGTGAAAGTGTTTTATAATATTTTTTTTTCTTTTTTTCTTTATGTAGTAAAACCAACATATCACTACCCATGATATAGGCGATATAGCAAATTATATCTTATGTTGTTAGCTCTTCTATATTGTTGTGTTGTTTGTGGTTGTATTATTTATTCTTTTATATTGTTAGTTGTTTGCATCCTCGACTTTAGACCTTGCTTAATGATTGGAATTCTTGGTTAGCTTTCGCACACATTGTTTGATAAATTGTCATACTGGGATACCTCTCAAATATTATAAATTTTTTAACAATATTGCTGAATAAAGATTGTTTTCAAACATTAAAACCATATATACAAATACTATACCTAATCCCTGTGAACCCTATAGACAAATTTAATTAGTAAAAACAAAGGCTTTGGCAATCAAATTTAATTTGTTGATTCAACTATGTTTTGTCATACTTCGATAGCATTGAAAAATGGGCCAAATTCCTTTAAATTAGACCCAATTGAATTTATCAAACTGAATTGGGCATCCAACATGTTTTACACCTCTACTTATCATTAAAACTAGTAATTTAAAAATTAATCTCTATTTATGAATAGTAAATTAATAATTGATTTTTTTCAAAAAAAAAAAAAAAAAATGCATAACACTACCCTTCAAAAATTGTTTCTAACAAGTACCACATTAGTTAGTGTGTCACATAGCTTATGGAAATTAAAAAAAAAAAAAAAAGTTGTCGTATTATTTCATTTAATTTAGAATTGGTATATAGAGTTTTATCTATGGGTTCTTTTTGAAATTATATGAGCATATTTAATTTCAAATTTTTTTAATAATAAATGTATTTCAAAATGAGCGTGGAGATTATTTTATGATTTCGTAATAACTATTTGTGACATATTTACGAGGATCCTTATAGAAAAAAATCGAAAAAAAAAAATCCTCAAGAAAAAGGGTCATTTTTTGTTTACTGGAATGGGTGTGGAGAGCATTTTATAAAATGCATATAACATCATGTTTTGCTTGATCATGTCGTTAAAAATGAAATTTGAAAAACATCAAATTGTCAAACATAAAATTATGATCCCTTCTTTGTAGAAGAGAAAGATCAATTATAAGTTGGTTGTTTTTTCAATTCTCAGAAAAAAAAAAAAAAAGATAAAGTTTCCATTCAACATGACCCAACTTTCTCATTTGATCTTTGATCTTCTCTCTAGAAACAGAAAAATGACCTAAATGTCAAAAAAAAAAAAAAAAAAAAAAATTACACATAAAAAAACAATGTTACACGTTCATATTTGCATTATAAATTTGATGATATAATATGACACTTGTGAATAACTCTCGTATCACACATAGGGATGGGTGTTGACACGCCCTTCCTCGAATGGGGCGAAGATTCCCTGAAATAGTCGAGGACGAGGTCGAGGATGAGACTTATGAAATTCTTCGAACCTCGAGGACAGGGGTAGGCCTGCACCCACCCCGCCCTACGAAGTATACATTTATTTAAAAATTTATATATTTTTTTCCTTTATTAGATTGTATATAAAGTTAGCATCTCATGATTTAAAATTAAGATTTTAAGTCATGTATCAAAATTTGTGATGTTATCTTAAATTCATTATTGTTACTTTGTTATACATATTATTGGTTTCTTTAATTACTACTTGGTAGAAAATGTGTATGTATTTGTATAAGTTATGTGATTGAATTCTCTTATTATTAGTGACAATTAATTATTGCATGCATGTTTTTCTATGATAATATTACATGAGATTAATCACTAATTTTTTTTTAATAAGAGTTCAAATATTCTAAACATTTTGTGTGCCACATGGTGACATGGAGTCATGGATAATTGGACATGTACACTTAAAAGATTGTTTAATTTTATAAAATTTTATTAAAATTAGATATTTATTTTTATAATACTCTCTAATATTTTTATTAAATTTATAGAAAAAATAATTTAAATAGGGAGTCAAATAATAAAATCAATCAATTATTATTTTGTTAATTTCACAAAATTCTCTAATAAATTGATGTCCCAACTTATTATTCAAGGGTCATTTACCCCAAAAATAAATAAATTTGATTATATTGTTACAAAACCAATACAAAAATATACACAATTGCGTAACGACTTACAAATTACACAAATAAAAATATCAAATTACACAAATTCCATTATCTTTTTTAATTAATTAATTGATCAATTAATTATGATGTTAAACTTAACCAATGTTGGGATAATGAGATTTGTCCCTTTCACAAGCGGACTAATTTTATTAGTTGGCGTGGTGATAGTGATTTGTGAATCAATTAATTAATTTACCAAGTAAATTATGTTAAAATTGAATATAGCTTTATTAATTTTATGAAAATATCAAATGTTTTTTCTAAATATTCTATAATTTTTATTTTATATTTAATATTATATTAAATATTTTATTTTATATTTAATATTATATTTAATATTTAATATTATATTAAATATTTTATTTTTATTTAATGGTTTTGAAAATTACAAATTACAAAGGTTTGATGTATGATGCGTCTCTAATTATATTAGTAAATTCTTATTATTTAAACCTTCAAATTAGCAAGTAATAAAATAAAATAATTGATCTTACCTGTTATCAATCTTGGGTGTATTTTTAATTTTGATAGATAGTAATTAATATAATAAAGTTTTGTAACCATTTTAAAAAAAAAAAAAAAATTTTCTGGGAATGAGCGAAGAAAAATCCCTACGGGAAGATTTCCCCACAAAATCCCCGACCCTTGTCCCCAGTTACAGAGATAGGGGATCCCTCAAGGGGCCGGAGAATGGGGTCCCCACCCCCGCCCCCGCCCCATGCTCATCCCTAATCACAGACACATATACATTTTCACTATATATCCCTTCAATTTGTATGCTAAATGTTATTTAAGAAAAATGTATTATAAGTTAGAAACAAAAGAAACATTAAACAATCTAAAATTAATTAATTATAATTCTCCCTCGAAGTATCAATCATTAACAGTTCCTCTGCTCCCATATTTGAAATAACAATTTACTTTCTGTTGTTATTGTTTATTAAAGTTTTTCGTCATCTAAATTAATACATTTTATATTTGATCTATTAAATACACTAAAACTCTAATTCATGGAATAAGGATGTGTTAGAGTTGGTGAACTCTAGTTAACATTTAGGTACCTATTTTTTAAGTGCAATGGAAGTTTTTACCAAGTTGATTAATGGTTATAAAGTTTATCATAAATCAACATCCATAAGCAATAAAAGCAAAGTACACCATCGTATACATAGTTCGGCTAAAACCACTCTTAGCTTACATCCATGAGACCTCGTCCAAATCAAAGCAAATCCACTAAACAACAAACATTATAAGATATAGTTCAAAGTTGATTTTAGCTACAACAAAGAAAACTCCATGTTTTAGTTACACTAAACACCACCCTCTGAATCTCTAATGTCTTGTTGCTCCAAGGACCTCTTCACATCGGGACACACCCGAAGAACACTTGAGCTCCATCCAAGCTTCACATGCCAAAGCTACGATCCAGCATCAACAATGAAACCAAGTTCCAACTGCCATTCAACAAGTATATATATGAGATAATGAAAGTTTGGTACAATAACATAAGGCGAACCTCTAAGGAATAAACTCTCTGAAAATTTCATAGCATAAGCAAATAAAATATCAAAAGGTTAGTTCACAAAGTTTGGCAACTTGTGCACACATACAGCATAAGTTTGACAAAAATATTCTACAGGTAAAAATTGTTATTTAATTGATACCTTGTAAAGCAATTGCAATTAGCTTGACTATAATAAATCTTTAAATTTTATAGACATCTTGGTCCCATATGTTAATTACACCAAACAAGTTAAAGTAGGTAAATAGCATATAATTGACCAACAGAGAAGTCAAGTACAAGTTTTTTCATAGAAATTATTTCGAGTAAAAGAATATTAAATGAAAAAAAAACTTGTTATAACCACTCACAGAAAGAATCAACCAAATAACAATAGATCAAGAACAAGAATCACAATAAAACACACACAAGAACAACCAGATTTACCGTGGTTCACTTGCTCTATATTTGAGCAAGCTACGTCCACATTGAACTCGGGAATCACACGAGCTCGCTGCACTAAATCACTGTCAAGATTACATATTACACAAAGCAACACAAATCCCTCAAAACCCCTTCTTCAACCCGTAACTCACCCTAGAGATTACACCCTTCGAATCTCTATATACAGCGTATACAATACACCCAGAATGACCTGACTCAGTCACTCAATCAACAAGTTACAAGATTCACTCAACCCAAATTGAAAACCCTAAAGACTCAAAATGGTGTTTAACGAAGAAGAGAGAGATTTGCAAAAATGAATGAATGCGTAAACTGCCAAATAACTCTGCTTTTATATGGTTGACATTAGGGTTAAATTCCAGCCGTTAGATCTTCTTTTCATCAACGCTCAGGATTGTTTCTTCAGTTTGGATCAAAACGACGTCGTTCCATTTAAGTGCTAATGCTACAGCGTTTCAAGCCATCATCCAACAATCTCCACCTTGATGGGTTGAAAAACAGCCCCTGTGCTAGTACAGCTTGCCTTTAGTGAGTCCTTCATAGTTCTCTTGTTACTCTTGCTTACTGAATGGACAGTAGGTTCAAGCAATGCTTGAACTTAGCAATTGTAACAATCTTAGTACCCATGTTTGCTGGATTGTGCTCAGTAGGAACCTTATTGAGTGCTATCTCCTCCCTAGTGATCAGATCTCTCACAAAGTGATAGCGAACATCCATGTGTTTGGTTCGCTCATGGTACACTGGATTCTTACTCAGACGTATTGCACTTTGATTGTCTGAAAAAATGGTTGGCTTCAGTTCAGACAGGTTTGCTTCACTCAGGATCCCTTTGAGCCACATTGCCTCTTTAAATACATTAGCTACAGCCACATATTCAGCCTCGGTTGTTGATAGTGCAACTATAGGCTGTAATTGGGACTTCCAGCTGATGCAGTTGCCCCCCAAGGTAAAGTAATATGCAGTGGTTGACTTCCTAGTGTCCCTGTCACCTGCAAAATCAGAGTCTACAAAACCATCCAGCTCAAGTGAGGCAGATCTTTTACAGTATTCCAGTCCCATATTTAAAGATCCACTAACATATTTGAGTACCCACTTTAGGGCTGTCCAATGTTCCATACCAGGATTGGACATGAATCTACTCAGCAATGATATCACAAATGATAGGTCAAGCCTAGTGCTTATCATAGCATACATCAAGGATCCAATCACATTAGCATAGGGTATGGTCTCCATTCTAATTAACTCAGCATCAGTATTAGAGCATTGAGTCTTGCTTAATGTGAAGTGGATTGCTAAAGGCATTGAGACAGTTTTGGACCTTGACATTCCAATTTTTTCTACTAACTTATGCAGGTATGAACACTGGTGAATTTTCAGTTTGCATTTACTTCTATTTCTATCAATTTGCATGCCTAAAATCTTCCTAGCATCCCCTAGGTCTTTCATTTCAAATTCAGCATTCAGTTTATTCTTTAACTCATAGATCAGAGGCTTTGATTTGCTTATTAGTAACATATCATCTACATACAGCAGTAAGTAAATAGGTATTTCATCTAAAATAGCAAAGTAGAAACAACTGTCATACTTACTCCTAGTGAATCCTATACTTACTATAAAGGTGTCAAACCTCTTATACCATTGCCTAGGGGATTGCTTTAGACCATATAAGGATTTCAGTAGTAGGCAGACAAGTTACATCCACTCTGGAGTTCAACGTGGATGTAACTTGTTCTATATTGAATAAGCGAACCACAGTATAATGTGTGTTGTGTGATTTCTTGTTCTTGCGTTTTATTTTGATATGAGATTGTTTGGCAGTTTGATCAATTAGTATTGATGTACAACAGTGGTATCAGAGCCAAAAGTTTTAAGGTGTATCTAGGTTTAGGAATCTTTCAATTTTTGACGAATTCAAAAATTAGGGTTTGTTAGTTTTGGGTTTTTCGATTTAAAGGTTCCTAGATCATTAGGACTTCAAATCTTGCAGAGTCTTGGGATTAATTCGCACGATTAGGTCACAAACACAAGGGATCAACGAAAATAGGGCAAAATCAAAATTAGGGTTTTGTTAGGATTTGGGGGTTTTCTTTCAAATTAGGGTTTCATTCTTTTGGATTGCTATCAGCTTTTCCTTCATTGCTCGTTGCCATTCTTCCTTTGTTGCTGCTTCTTCATAAGTTATTGGATATGAAATAACAAGAGCAAATTGACAACATTCATATATGTCATTGTTGGACCGGTCGTCACGGTCACAAAATTAAACCTAAATACTGTAGTTAGCGGTAAGCAGGGTCGAATCCACAGAGAGCAAGACTAATGACCTAATGTATATTTAAGTTAACGAAAGAGAAATTGGCAAAATGATTGATTAAAACTAAGGAAACTAATTACTAGCAGGAAATTAAAAGCATTAAATAAATTGCTAACTAAAACACAATATTAAAAACGTTGTCGCTACGGGTTCAGTTTGACTCAAGACCAACTCTCACAATTCCTCTCCTCGCTCTTCAATTTCCTAATCCTACAAGGCTAGGCAAATCAATAGAAATATCTCCTGGCAATCTAGGCGTAATCTATCCTATCTCCCCATCGTCTTAGTTACAGATTGATCGGTTAAAGACTATCATTGACTAACCGAAAAATGCTAAACCCTTAAACACCACTAGTTGGTACAATGTTAACAAGTACAACCTATCAACCTGTATCATCCAATCAACTAATTACACAATAAATGTATTCCTAGTATAAATGATATTAAACGCTACTACAACTTGATTGTAATCAATACCGAAGAAATTTAAAGTCATAATCAACATTCAATAATCTCAAACCGACATTCAATTATGCTAAAAGTTATATATCAATAAACATTCTCAATGGACATTATCAATTCAACACATCGAGCATCAGAATAATATTAAAGCATCGCAAACAAACTGAAACGAAAACAAATATAATCTGAATACAAGAAACTTAACCAAATATCCAACATTCGGGCTCATCCAACTAGTCGAGAGCTGATGAGGAGATCAATGGAGTCAATCTCGATCTCGCCTACACCGTAACAGACAACCGGGAACTCAGCCGCTCATGGTGGTGATGACGGAGGCTGAAATGGTGGAAACAAAGCTGATCATGGCGGAGAGGAGGTAACCGATAGCGATATGATGCGAAGAAGGGGCGAAAACGACCCATGGATAGCCCGGAATATGAACAGCCGCACTCGCCGAAAAACGTTAATTTTTCGACGGGTCTTCCAAAAAACGGTGGTAGAAATGGGATTCGAAGGGACCGATGGAAAGCTCTGGTGATGGGGAGTTCAGATCAGGTCCTGGGGAGGTGAGAAGTCGTCTGAAATGAGCAGGATCTAAGCTGGAAGATGAAGAGGCGTGGCGGCGATTTGGCAGATTCCGACGGTTTTTGCAGCGACTGAAGCTTCCAAAGGATAGATCCGACCGTGGGGAAGGGAGATCAAGTCCTGGGGAGTCCAACCGTCGTAAAAAAACGGCCAAAACTGGCCTGGAAGATGAAAAGTCGCTATGGAAAGATGAAGCGTCACGGTGGAATGCGTGTTTCACGGTGGTGATGACGGGATGATGGTGGCTGGAGTAAGGGGAAGCCGAAACGTTGTCGAAAAAGGAGATGAAGGGTCGTCGGAGCTTGATCGGAGAAGGTGAAGAGTTTTGGTGGGCGGCAGCCACCCAATCTGCGACCATGAACTGTAGTTTTATACAAAATTTGGTAAATTTCCATTTGGTCCCTACACGATTGAAACATGACAAAATTAGCCCTTTGAAACATGACATTTTACATCCTGAACAGCATAAATGAGACAAAATCACCCCTAATCCATAAACCACAACCTAATATCAACTAAAAACATTTCCAAATTCATCCAAAATATACAAAATTAGTAAGAAAAACTCAAAATATGATTTTTATACATAAATTCATAATTTCTCTTAATTGTCTCAATATAACTTCAATTCAATTACATATGGGATATTTTTATCAACGAAATAGAGTCACTTTCATGACTCTAACAGTCAGTTTTGGGGGTTTTTCGATTTAAAGGTTCCTAGATCATTAGGACTTCAAATCTTGCAGAGTCTTGGGATTAATTCGCAAGATTAGGTCACAAACACAAGGGATCAACGAAAATCGGGCAAAATCAAAACTAGGGTTTTGTTAGGATTTGGGGGTTTTCTTTCAAATTAGGGTTTCAAATCATCCTGAATCTGTTTAAGAGTATCTCGGCTGGAAAACTAGTAACCGCCTTAAAAACTGCCTGGCAGTATTTGGCAACCTCTGGTGTAACAACGCCACGTACTCCTTAGACTGTCTTGCCCTGTCATTACAGTACAATGAGCACTACTCGTATGGAGATCTCCCAATACGATAGGAAGATCGATTTTAATACATAGAAAAAGAAAATGAAGGCCCAGTTATCCCACAATAAGGTGGGAATTGCATTGGAAAAGGATGAAACCAAGTGGTCCGAAGAAAAGGTGAAAAAGAAAGCGGAGATAGATGAAGAAGCATACAATCTGATAATCATGAATTTATCAGATAATGTATTGCGAAAGGTGGATGGCCTGGACACACTGCTTGAGCTTTAGGGTAAACTCGAAACTCTGTATGCATTAAGGTCTGCTCCTAATTTAGTATTCTTGAAAGGTGCTCTGTTTTCTTATAGAATTGATGTCTCTAAGTCATTAGAAGAAAACCTAGATGAATTCCTTAAAATGACACTGGTGCTAAAAGGAACTGATCAGGAATTAGGGGATTCGAGTCTTGCAATGATTTTATTAAATTCGTTACCTGATGAGTACTTAGTAGTGAAAAATGCATTGCAGTATACTGGAACAGTCCCTAGTGTTGATCTTATAATAGTTGGTTTAAAATCCAGAGAACTTGAGTTAAAGATACAAAAAAGAAATGGGAGTAATCTTTTTGTAAAAGGAAAACAAGAATCTAGTCACTTTAGTAAAGATACTGGAAAGGGTGTTCAGCAAAACTTAGGGCCAAAGAACAAGAAGAAAGGGAAAGCCTATAATAATAATAAATCTAAATCAGAGATTAGGAAGTGCTTCCATTGTAACAAACCTGGTCACATAAAAAAAGAATTGTTATGATTGGATTAGGAAGCAGAAACAGAACAGTACTGAGAGCAACTTAGCATCCTCTAGTAATAGCATTGAAGTTATAGAAGCCCTTACTGTGTCTAGTTCTAAAATGGCCAATGAATGGGTACTAGACTCAGGGTGTTCTTTCCATGAGTCCTAATAAAACCTGGTTCCAAAATCTAACAAATGGTGAACCTGAAACAGTGTTTATGGGCAATAATCACTCATGTAGTCCAAGGTGTGGGTAATATCACCATTAGACTTAAAGGTGGCAAACTCATTATGTTAACCAGAGTAAGGTACATACCAGAGCTTAAACGTAACCTGATCTCTTTAGACACATTGGATGAAGCTGGCTGTAGCTACAGGGCTAAAAATGGTGCATTACTGTATACAAAAATGATCAAATGCTATTTGAAGGTGTTAAAAGGAATGGGTTATACATATTGTGTGGGCAATATCATCAAATGAATGTTAACTCTACTTTTATATCTAATAACATTTCAACTGCAGAAAAGTGGCACCTGAGGATGGGCCATATAGGCCAAATTGGTATGAGCTATCTCAAGCAGCATGGGTATTTTGGTAATGACAATGTGTCAGACCTAGATTTTTGTGAAACTTGTGTCATGGGCAAACAGCACAGGCTGAGCTTCCCAAAAGGAACTCACCTGTCTGTGGGATGTTTGGATTACCTTCATGCTGATCTTTGGGGTCCTGAAAGAGTCAAAACACATGGGGGGAATAGTTATTTTCTAGCTATAGTGGATGACTTCAGTAGGAAGGTGTGGGTTTACCTACTTAGATCCAAGGATGAGGCTCTAATTAAGTTTAAGGGTTGGAAGACTTTAGTAGAAAACCAACTGGAGAAAAAAGTGAAAACACTTAGAACTAACAATGGATTGGAGTTCTGTAACACTGAGTTTGACACTTACTGTAGAGACCAGGGAATTGAGAGACATATGACAGTGATGGGAACCCCTCAACAAAATGGAGTTGCTGAGAAGATGAATAGGATACTTTTAGAGAAAGTGAGATGCCTCCTTTTCACAGCTGGGCTACCTAAGTCTTTTTGGGGGGAGGCTTTAACCATTGTTGCCTATTTAGTTAATAGGACTCCATCTAGTGCAACTGTTACATTTGTCCTGAAGAAAGATGGTCAGGAAGAAAACCATCCATAAACCATTTTAGAGTTTTCAGATGTGCTGCCTATGCACATACCAAAGATGGGAAATTAGAACCAAGGTCCCTAAGATGTGTGTTCTTAAGATATCAAGAAGGGACAAAGGGATATAGGCTATGAGAGAGAGAGGCTCCAAGAATTAAGGTCATTATTAGTAGAGATGTGGTATTTAATGAATGTGTGTTTCCTTGTAGGGTTACCAACACTAATGCAGGTACCTCAAACCATCAAGTGGAGAATCCACAACAAACTGAAAGTACTCAGTTTGAGGTGGAGTTAGCCAACCAACAAGAACCTGAAAACAACACTGATGGACCAGAAGCTGAACCTGTACAAAATACCATTGATACTGACCCTGATGGTGAAAATGAGAATGAAGAAAACAATGATAATACCCAACAAGAGGACCTGGCTCATTACCAACTTGCTATAGACAGAACAAGGAGGGAAATAAGACCACCTCTAAGGTTTAGCTATGCTGAACTTATCTACACAGCACTACTTGCTGGTGTAGAGATACAGAGGATAGAGCCTGAGTCTTATGAAGAAGCCATACAATCAAAGGATAGTAAGAAATGGCTCACTACCATGAATGAGGAAATGGACTCCCTAAGGCAAAACAAGACTTGGACTCTAGTTCCAAAACCCAAAGACTCAAAACCAGTGGAATGCAAGTGGTTATACAAGCTGAAGGGGGGCATAAACAATACTGATCCACCAAGGTATAAGGCCATATTAGTGGCCAAAGGCTACACCTAGAGGGCAGGTATAGACTTCACTGAGATTTTTTTCCCCTGTTGTTAAATTTAAAACTATAAGAGTGATGTTATCCTTAGTAGCACATCAACATCACTCTTATAGTTAGAGTAGTTAGATGTAAAAACTGCATTTTTGCATGGGGAATTAGAAGAACAGATATATATGAGTCAGCCCATGGGATTTAAGGATAAACAGTTTCCTAATCATGTATGTTTGCTGCATAAATCGTTGTATGGACTCAAACAATCACCTAGGCAGTGGTACAAGAGGTTTGACTCATTCATAGTAGGGATAGGCTTCACTAGAAGTGAGCATGATAACTGTTTTTATTTTGCACATGTGGATACAAATCCTGTATATCTGTTACTGTATGTTGATGAAATGCTTTTAATCAATAAGTCTAAAGCTCAGATTGATGTGTTGGAGGGAAAATTACATGCTGAATTTGAAATGAAGGATTTAGGCTGTGCAAAGAAAATATTAGGCATGCTAATAGAAAGAAACAGAAAAACTTACAGTTTAAAACTCCACCAGATGTCCTATCTCCAGAAACTAGTAGTTAGATTTGGAATGAATGACTCTAAATGTGCCTCAATGCCCCTAGCTAGCCATTTCATCCTTAGCAAAGCCCAAATTCCACAAACAGAATTTGAAAGATTAAAAATGGAATCCATGCCTTATGCAAATGCTATTGGCTCTATCATGTATTCCATGATTAGTACAAGACCTGACTTGTCATACTCTATATCATTGTTAAGTAGGTTTATGTCTAATCCTGGATGGGAACATTGGAATGCTCTGAAATGGCTTCTTAGATACATTAAGAACAATGTACATATGGGTTTAAATTTCTGTAAAAGAAACTCCTCACTTGATCTGGTTGGGTATGTAGACTCGGATTTTGTAGGTGATAGAGACTCCCGAAAGTCTACAACAGCATACCATTTTACTTTGGGAGGTAACTGTATTAGTTGGAAGTCCCAGCTACAGCCACTAGTAGCTCTTTCCACAACTGAAGCAGAATATGTGGCTGTAACCAATGCATTCAAAGAAGCGATATGGCTTCAAGGGTTCTTGAAAGAAGCCAAGCTGTTGGATGGAACTGTGACTGTCTATTCAGATAGTCAGAGTGCTGTTCATTTGGGGAAGAATCCCGTGTACCATGAGAGGACCAAACACGTAGATGTGCGGTACCATTTTGCGAGGGATATGATCTTAAAAGGAGAGGTGAAACTGATGAAAGTCCCAACTGAAAATAACCTAGCAGACATGGGAACCAAGGTTGTAACACTTGCAAAGTTCAAGCACGGCTTGAACTTATTGCATGTGGGATAACCAAATCGAAACTAAGAAGGAATATGGAAATGCTTGCTGCACAACAGGAGAACATTGCTGGAAAGAATGTCACAGACTTCAAGGTGGAGATTGTTAAATAAGTGAAGCCTGCGACGTCGTTTAAGCCAAGTAAAAACGCTGTAATTTTGCCTATTAGTCCAAGTCAATCACAGCCATCAAATTAAAGAGAATCCGACGGCTCCAGTTCAATCACAAGTCAACAATATAAAAGGGGAACCTTTTCACGCATTTTGGTAACTGTTCGTGTATTAGGGTTTTCTCTTTTTTTTCTCTGTAAAGACGTTTTGTAACCTGGGTTAGGGTTCGAGTTTCATTCTAGTTCTTCTCTGTGTAAATCGTTCTAGAGGCTTATCTTTTAGGGCAGGGTGTTCCTTAAAGGGTATAGAGTATTCTAGTGGTTGAGATTTATGGGATAAAGAGAAGTGAATGAGTGTGTGAATGTTTGGTTGACAAAGAAGTAGATTTGTCTGTAATCTATAATCTTTGAAGTGATTAATCCTAGTGCAGCGAGCTCCATATTCTGGAGTTCAACGTGGATGTAACTTGTTCTATATTGAACAAGTGAACCACGATATATTGTGTGTTGTGTGATTTCTTGTTCTTGCGTTTTATTTTGATTTGAGATTGTTTGGTAGTTTGATCTATTAGTATTGATTTACAACAATAGGGTTGTGATGATCGCTGATCTCATTGTTTAATATTTTCACTGCTCGTTTCAGGTTCCTATTGTGGAACTTAGAGCCTCTGTTCCAAGTTTCACTGCAAGTCTGATTGGAATTTGCAGGCAAGCAACCCGCAGGCTCCAATCCTATAACTGCAACTTTTCGGACTCCCAAGCTATGTATGCATTTCAGGTTCATGGCAAGTTGCTTTATGATAGCTTTTGAGAAGTTTGACATATCCTGTAATGTACAAATTAGACATTAGAGTTCAACTAGTGATTTTCAAGCACATATAAAATGGGATCCCAACTAATGTTCTCTTCTAATTCTATCACATAAGAATAACTGAAGTCTTTGAATTATGAAACTTCCATCTCCGATGTGAGAATGTGTCGGCGTATTTGGAAAGCATCAGTGAATCAGGAGTCAATGGCTGTGGAAGCTTCTCTTCCCCGATGCGAAGGCCACGTCGAGAATACAAGTCAACTCCTTCGGGTGTTTGCATCCCCCAGACATCATGGCGTTAGGTTTGACCATATCCTAATGCATCCGACAATAGAACATGGTTATCCATACCCTAACACGCTACTGCGTTGGCATTTGGACAATGTTCTGACGCAGTTTGCGTTGAAACATGCCTTAGTAATTGTCGGTACAGTTTGGGTCAGGCATGTATCAGAGTCCCGACGAAACTCCGCCGCATCAGGAGTGCTCGGCAGGACAATTGGATATTTCGGTAGGGATTACATTAATTATAAGATAATTGGGTGCTGGCTCTCGTTTGAATCCAAAATTAGGATCCTGATTTTGTCTAGCTGTTATTGTTAAAGAATAATTCATTATCTGTGTTTAAAACTCGGCTCGGCCCAGCCGGTTGAACTGGGACTCGGGGCCTTGACCAGGCTGGTTTTGAATTTTGATTGTTCATGGCAAACCCTAAAAATTAGGACGACAATCGGTGAATAATTGGTGGCCGAGATGTTGGGGGTTTTTAGGAGGAAGGGTCGGTGAGTCAAAAGGTGGCAACGAAGATGATTTTCGGTGAGTGAAATGATCGAAAATCACAAAAATCAATCATCATAAACAGCATGCCGTTGCCAACAATTGACGAGGCAAACGAGGGTGGGGTGAGATTGGTTTTGGTTAGGAGGCTATGGTAGGAGTTTTTGTGGTGATAGGGTGTGTTTAGGGGTGTCAACTGAGTCGAGCCGTGATAATCCGTGGATTATACAGTTTTCATGAGTCTTTTTATTCGGATTTCAGGTACTTTATGGTGCATTTTGATCTGAATTGTTGTTTAATTCTTTACATTTTGTGTTTCAGGTTAAAATGGATATGTTGATCAAATAAGGGCAAAATTGGAAGTTTTTGACTCAGAAGTTAAGAGAGTTCAGAAGTAGGATAAAACACGATGAGGCTTGTTTGAAAGGGAGAGCACCGAGGATCGAAGAAGAAAGCAAAGAAGCAAGCAAAGTGGCAGTTCGGTAATTTCTGAACCTTTCAAGTTGCTTCGCCCCGGCGAAGATTTGTCCTTCGTCGCGGCGAAGTACGGCAGAAAAGAACAAGTCTGAGGCTTTCTTCGCCGCGGCGACAGTCGTGATTTTCAGTTTTGTAAAACGCACAGTTTTACGTTGTGTGTATTTTTCTTAGAAAATTAGGGCAAGGTATAAAAGAAAAACTTAACCTTTTTGCCCAAGGTCGTGCAGGAAGTAGGGTTAGCAACTTTTACATTATTTTTGGATTAACCTTAGAGATTTTTAGCAATTGAAAGCGTAAAGATTCGATTTTGAACCAAGGGATTCATCAATTGGGGAGATTTCTTATCCTCTCTCTTACTTTTCATTATGTTGAACTTGATTATTTTCGTTTTTCTTAATTGTAGTGTTAATTTAGCTATGAACTAATCCATTTTGGGTTAGGGTTTTGATTGTAATTCGGATTTCCAATGGGTTAATTATTGATCATGTTTTATTCATATGACTATGTGTTGATTGTGTGTTTACTCTAAATTTTAATGCTTTATGTGATGAACATGATGAGATTGAGAAATGAATCATGTTAGGCTTCTTGGGTAATCACCATTATAGTATTGGATGCTAGAGATAGATCCAAGAATTAATGAAATCATTGTAGGATTCTTTTGCTTAATGAGTTTAGAATTGTTAACCTTCAATTTGTTGGGTGCGGAAGGTTAACAAGGAAGAATAGGGAAACATAGCCTGAGAAGGTATGTTAAACACCTTAGTGAGTTTGGTTTACAATCAATGCATACGAATGTGAAAGTAGCGAAATTTTAGGTTTAACCCATAGAATCCGAATGAAGTCAAAACCCTACTCTTTTTACTTGAATTGATTTTCTGAGTTTTCATCTTACAATCTTTAGTTAAATTTTAGTTTAAAAGTTATAGTTCAGATTAGTTATAATTAGCTCCCATCAATCCAAAGATTTCGATTGCTCCAACTTGAGAACAGTAGAATACTTAGTGGTTAGCTAACAATCCTAGTGGGAACGATCTATAATCATCATTATATTACTTGTGCGATTAGTATACTTGCTACATATTGCATGTTGTAGGAAACACGCATCAAGTTTTTGGCGTCGTTGCCGGGGAAAGTTTTAAGTTAACATTGAGTCTTTCTATAGTTAGCTAGATTGGAGTTTTTATTTTTGTTTTTAATTTTCAGTTGATTTGTAATCTCACTTTCCTTCATTTCTGTTTTCGCAGTTTATGTGAAGAAAGAGACGTCAACCAGTGATCCCTATTGACCTTGAGCTTGAGAGAACCATTAGACGACGTAACAGAGAGAGAAAAGAAAGAGAGGATTTAGTTGTAGAAGCAGAAGAAATAGTTGTTAAAATGGCTGAACCAGAGAACAGGACATTAAAGGAATTTTATGTTCCCACAGTGAATGGTAGTGGGTCGAGCATTACTAGACCTATGGTGCAAGCAAACAACTTTGAGATCAAGCCGGCAATCATCCAGATGATCCAGTAGTCGGTTAGGTTCAATGGTGACTTGAAGGAAGATCTGAATCAGCACATTACAAATTTCTTGGAAATTTGTGACACCTTCAAGTCAAATGGAGTGTCGGATGACGCTATTAGGCTACGATTATTCCCATTCTCATTGGGAGATAAGGCCAAGGGGTGGTTAATGGCATTACCACCGAGAACTATAACAATTTGGAATGATCTAGCACAGAAATTCCTTACCAAGTTCTTTCCTCCAGCTAAATCAGCAAAATTGAGAAATGATATCACATCATTTCTACAGGATGATTCCGAGTCATTGTATGAGGCTTGGGAGAGATACAAGGAGTTAATGAGGAAATGCCCACACCATGGTTTACCAGTTTGGCTTAAAGTCCAAACATTCTACAATGGATTGATGAGTAATGTACAAACCATGGTGGATGCAGCTTCAGGAGGGGCCTTGCAGAATAAGACACAAGAAGAGGCATATGAGTTGCTTGAGGTTCTAACAAGCAACAACTATCAAAGATCGAATGAGAGAGCCATACCAAGAAAATCTTCGGGTCTTCATGAAGTTGATGCATTCATAGCCATCTCAGCCCAACTCATGGCACTTCAGAAATAGTTGGGAACTATGCAGGTAAACTCTATTCAAGCACCTCAACTAACGTGTGATTTTTGTGCAGGGAATCATGTGAGCAGCGAGTGTCAAGTTGGGAACACATTTGCTTTGTCATCTTCATCAACGGAGCAAGTGAACTACTTGGCAGGTAATCAGAGACAACCAAACAACCCATACTCCAACACATACAACCCAGGGTGGAGAAATCATCTGAATCTGGCTTAGGGAAATCCAAACTAGCAAAATAACCAATGGAACCAGAGGAACGTTCCAAATAACCAGCCAGGGGTGAATAACCAACCGGGAGATCCAAGAGCAACAAAGTTGGAAGATATGTTTGGGAAATTCATGCAGGAGACCATGGGGATTTATGAGTGAGACGAGGATGAATTTTAGAAATCAAGAGGCATCCATTCGGAGTCTTGAGGTACAAGTGGGCCAATTGGCTGAGAAATTGAATGAGAGACCGCAGGGTTCCTTACCAAGCAATACAATGACCAACCCACGTGAGCAAGCTAATGCCATCACTTTAAGAAGTGGGACAGTTTTGGAAGAGGTAGAGCGAGCTACCAAGAAGGTTAAGCAACCCAGAAAGGAAGAGTCGGATGAAGAGATAGTTGCTGAAGAGAAACCAAGTGGTTTGGAGGAAGAAGAAAAGAAACAGAATGAAAGGCAAAAGAAGAAGGAGAAATTGCCATTCCCCGAGATACCACCAAAGTTG